ATATATTTGCATGTTTTATGCTTTTATATTATACGCTTTTTTATTAGCCCACCTTGGAAAAATACAGAAAGTTTTTATTATATTAAACCTGGAAAATGGCGGACTTTAATAAAATTTCTTGTAATTGACATGTAATTATAATCAATATACTAAACATATATATTTTTTATAATAGTTATATCGAGTAATAAATAACACATCTTCTTTATTATATGTAGAATATTATCTTGCCTGAATATTCCACTTTCTTATCCGTATTTAGAAGAACAAATAACTTCATGCGATATTGAAACTTTAAAATCATTGGAATATAATTGGTGTACTCTCCGTACAAAACTTGTTATATTAGCATGGTTATCTATATTTATTTGGTTTATGGTATATCTGATTTATATATTTCTTATGTTCGTGATTTTGTGTGAACATGCTTATAGGATTTTAAAGCTATGGGTTTCTTATCAATATCAGTATATTAGAGGATTATACTTAACACAGTTAAAAGGTCGTAAAGAGATGAAACATCAAAGCAAAATAGAAATCGAGGAGTCTAAAGATTTAATTAGTAAAAATGAGAATGGAATTGAAATAGTAACAACCAAATAATATAACAAAAAATTATATTATAAATTTAAATACTGTATTAAAGTTTAAAAAAATTTGATATTATAAAATATTAAACTATAGATTTTATCAAATAGTATAAATAAAACAAATGTTGGACTCATTTTCAATATATTCATGTTTTTACTTTGATGATTTCTGAGTCAAAAAATCAATATTGCATTCTGCAAGTACAGCACTATGTAACAGACTTACCAAAGATCAAGCGGTCACTACTACTTAATACTAAGAACAACAGCTTTCAATAACGGGCGACAGAGCAAGCTATAATGATGTAAAGCAATGAGATATCTTTCAGTCGTACTGAAATTTCCATAATTGCATTTGGATCGTGTTAAAACATATAAATTAATTCATAAATTTTTGCTTTATAGTTATTAGACTCAGTCATTGCGTCATTTGATACTACTTGATTCTTTCAATTTTTAAAAAAGACACGTTATTGAATATCAAATTATTTTCTTATCGTGATCAGACCGTCTACGATGTAAATATGTAGATGAATAACTCGCATAGAATTTAATAGTGGTAGTAATTAAAATTATATAGAGATGTCTCTCAAAAAGATTTTATTGATTCGAACATACCCTTTGATATTGATGTCATTGATTTGTTCAAGTGGACTATTGCTGAATTTTGATAATAAAAACTGTTTAATTATGAATCTCCCTTCGTATTGATATTCCCAACATTCACTCTTAAGATGTGGTACAACCCTCAGTAAAAAAATATTTTAAACTGAGTAATATGGTAGGATTTATTTACTTAGTCATATTTGACAAATTTGCTAACAAATTGTAATTTGTTGTATTATTATTTATTATCTTTTATTAGTTTAATTATTTGCTATGATCTATTAATTTGTCGCTGTTATCTATCAGTGATGAAAATTTGTTCTGCATCAATTTTAAATTTATGGGCAATGCACGTTTTATAATCGGTGAAAAATTTATCAAAAATATAAATTTATGCATACGCTTTTAATTACATGAATTTGTTTTAAAAATTGAATAATCTTATAACGTGTTTAAAAAACAATAGGACTGATTAGCGAACATTTTAAGGCCCGTCAAGGTAATACAAATTTTGCATTCCTGTATTGCATTGTCTGCTGAGATATTTAATAGTACCATATATGAGCTTTTTCTATATTTAACAGCATGTTCGGGTGCCTTGGGTTGCAGATTAGTTCACAAAACTCTCGCTAGAAAATTTATTATTTCCGGCTTACTTAATTAAATAAAGCACTTTAGCCTTACCAATATTAAGAGCTTTGAAGAAATGAATAACCTATTACCTAAATTCTGAGTTAGTGAAATTTTTGAATAGAAAGATCATGATCTAGAAAATTATATCCTTACCATTATGTCTCCATAATTGTTAATGAAGAAAATGTTATTAACTATTTTATTTCATAAATTCGAGAGTTATTAATATTATTATTTTTCTCATTTATAGCAATACGAAGTCGCGTTATCATTATTGAATTGTTTTAATTACTGAATTATTGCAGTATAATTGTTACGCTTTGGAATTTATGTTGTTCAGAATACTGAACCAGGAACGTAGCCATACTTGCATAACGGAGTGTATAGTTTACTGCAAAGGCCCACATTTGATTGGATAGCGTGATCATAGTGATCATACGTATTCACATACTACATATTATAACGTACGTACGTACGTAACTTGACTAAATCAAGTAAAACTAGATTTAAGGCGTTTTCTTAAACCTTGATATGGATATTATGATGTAATAAAAGTTTTCTCAATCGTTTATACGTATATTCAAGATGCTTTCATAAATCCGAAGACCAAATCGGGGATCGTCTAAAGCCAGGTAGTTTTTAAGTTGATTAATAATAAATTTTTAAAGTAAAAGTCATGTGAGGCATATAAATTACTGCCTGGCTTCAGACATTTTAGGTAGCGTTCCCACAATAAATTGTTCATCCCCAGTAATTTTGACCAATCAGATCAGGTGTCAAAACAAACTTGGTTTGTTTTCTAAGTAAAAAAGTTACGCGTAAAATGAAAACCAAGAAAACCGGGTTATATTAGGGTTAGGATTAGACAATATAACGTCTATTAGTAAAACATCACGACAAAATTGAGTTATTCTTGTTTTTTTGCACCTGATCCTAAAATTTGATTGGTCAAAATTACAGGGGTGAACAATTGTTTGTGGGAGAGCTAGGGGTGTCGCTTTAAACGATCCCAAATCGGTAAGTAATGGTGTTGGAATCAATTTCGACTGAAATAATTTCATGCCGAATAACTTGTTTATTTGGCAGCGAATTTTTAATGTGCCATTTCTGGTAGTTTTCCGCAAAAAAGATTCGAACGGATCCGCTATTTTTAATGGGTATGAAAGTAGCATTTTACAAAGTGTACTTGAACTGTTCATATAATTAATATGGAAATTACACTACAGACAACAGGTCTTCAAACTCATTGCATAAACCGGATCCGGATCCGAATTGATGATTTTTGTAGATCTACTACTAGTGTGTTTTCCATATTAACTAGGAAACAGGCACTGTTAAATGTCCGAAGCAAAAATTTATTTATTAGGGCTAAAAATAGAAACAGACAAATTAGATAAATTGATGATCATCTGATCTAAAAATA